AGCCCGGCACGAGGCCCTGGTCTTCTTTGGTTGGGCTCTGTAGCAGGAGGTTTGTAGGACCTGAAGTTAGGGTGTCTCTTGCATTCTTGAATGCACCTTAATTACACGTAGTCCATAGAGTTTTTGTTAAGGCCAGTCCGTATATGAACAAAACCGGAAAGTAGAGGGAAACCCCAAGCCCACATGCGAGTTCCTTAAACCCGGGTCCTAGATCTACTCCTCTGGCCCTCAGCTTCATATGGAGAGGTCCAATTTTGTGGGAGCGGCAGCTGGGAGGGTGACCACCACCTCCACGCCTTTCCTTTTCCTGGCCCCAAAACCGCCCGCCACCACCACCCCCCTAACCCCACAATGCTAATATTACGAATGATAATCATAATAATAATGACAGTAATAACCTTGAAGGGGTGTGGTCCCTCCCTTCAGTTGTGAAGGCGTGGGCGGGTGGTACGTCCTCCGACGAAAGGAGAGAACGGGGGGTTGTGGTAAGCCCTTCCAAGCTGAGGCAGCGCGGACCGAAGTATGTGGGTTCAGGGGCCAGGGTCGCATAATTAATTTAGGGTTTAGGGTTTAAGGTTTTTTTTTGAGCACCTTTTTCCCCCTTGCCAATCCAGCTCAGCGGAATCCACATTTGCGGAAGGTTCTCTACCAGGTAACTAGGGTTTGAGGTTTAGGGTTTAGGGTTTAGGGACTACCACCGCAAACCTCCTTGCTAAGTCCGTTGACCCTTCAAGTGTCGACCCAGCCTCGAGAGGAACAAGGTCGAGATTGCGATAGTGGACCCTTTGCAGGTTCAGCATAAGCCGGTACTGGTGCAGATCCCCCTGCAAGGGGCTTCAGCGATTTCGGGCTTGGGGCATCAGGTCAAGAGGAGCTTGCGGGGCTGAACCAACTAAACTTCGGACCTAGAGAAACCCTGAGAAGCTGCAATAAACGCGAATTTCACAGGCCTGCACCACATAGTAGTGAAGCTTCCGCCGGACCATTCTCTGCAACACCGCGGCCAGCTTCGTTTTGTCCCTCTGTACCTCGGTCAGACAGGGCACGGCAAGGTCTTCCACGGCAATCTTCGCCAATCTTAGACTTGGGCTCACAACAACAGCTAATTGACTGACTCCTGCCGTCATGACCAGTAACATCCTCGGCACCATCATCATCATCATCAACATCATCATCATCATCATCTAGATGTCCCCGCGCTACTTCTAAGCCTACTTACTCAAAGAACTCGTTAGCGACATAGGCAAGTTCACTCTCTTCTTGTTTAATTGCTACTCGCTGTTCTTCTTCAGTGGTATGGTCATGCTGGTAGCACCCACCGGCATCCACCCCCTCCTACTACGAGACGGCAGGGAAAAACTGAATCCAAAACCCTACACCCGAAGAAATACCCAAAACATTCCAAAACCCTGCAGCTAACACTCCGAACTCAAAGCCCAAACCTGAACCCCGAAACTTCTTACGTACATATATGATAGGCCGAAGCTTGGGGTAAACTCTAAACTCTTTGCCCAGATGCCGTAAAGCTCCCTTCGCCCACCGGCGCCTGTACGAAGCCAAAAGCAGGCGCCTGCGCCTGAGCTTTAGGGTTTGGCAGTTTAGGGCGTGCTCCAGCTATGCATTCCCTAAACCCTTTTGGGGGCTGCATGGGGGGCGCATCAACTGCAAGGACGGCAGGGCATCACAGCAACCCCCCAGGCCCAGGTCGTTTCGAGGCTTTCGTATCTGTAAGTCATCTGACATGACATGAGAGGTTCCACAGACTCTCGAAACCCTCCGGCAGAACCCAGACTCAGACAGACAGCCAACAGGCTTGACACATGGACAGGCCCCAAACACCAAACGTGCAGTGCAGGGTGCCCCCTGAAGCACGCTTAATTCCCTAAATCCTCAACCTCGAAGCCACTTCCTTTAAAAGGGCCTGGTAAGTGGCACCCTGGATCTCGATGGAGACCCCGGTGTCTGCGCGGGTGCTCAGCTCCCGCACCATGCGCTCCAACCTTTTGGAGGAGCCGAGGAGTTCCGATGGAGCCACGGGGGCGTAGGCTTTCTGGTGGTCTAAAGGGTTCTGTTTACTGGATTGTGCCAAGGAGCCGAAGGGATGTGAGGTTGAGGAGATGAGGATTTGCGGTTCAGGGTGGAGGGTTTAGGACTGAGAGTTTAGGGTTTAGGGCCTGGGGCTTGCACTAGCCCCTGACTATGCGAGGAGCCCCTTAATCCTCTTCAACCAGGGACTCCTTTATAGAGGGAACCCTGAATTCCTACTTGATTCTTCATGGTCGAAGAAGACTTTAGGAGGTTCGCATGGAGTGGCGGCCTGCACCAGCCACGGCTTTCCCAGCTGCGGCGATTCAGCAAAATCTCCTGTCGCTGGGTAGGAGGATATGCAGGGAATGATGTACCCTTCATCACGACAAGAAGCCCCACATAGCTTAACGGCAACGAACGGATATCGCCTTAATCATGATAGATCATATAACTTCAGGAATCTTCCATAATTCCGGGCATATGGAGAGTGTCTGGGAGGCAGCTTTTAAATTGGAGTTGGGGTCCAGGGGCTTGGGACTCAGCCTGTAGGGCTTCGGGTCCCTGAAACCCCCAGCCCGCAGAAGCGTTTCGGGTCCTTCTGCTCTTGGCGGACATGGGGGCAGAGGATTGTAAAAAACTGGCAGCGTTCAACGTAGGCCTCAGCTTTTCGACACGCAGGGCCCCGGGGTTGATGGAAACTGGTGATCTAGCCCGACTGGCTGCAAGCAGTGCAAAACTCCCTAAAGTCGTCCACGATACATTGTACAAGCAATGCAGGCGTAAGATAACAAAGCTGTACATATTGTCTGCATAGGACGGTCAGCACAATGGCCACTCCTGAAGCCCACACACAAAACCTTCAACAACAGCAACACAAATCAACAACATCACTACTACATGCTAATCAGTGCTTGAACATTCATTTGTCCTTCCTTGTGACAGTACTTTCCCGACAGTGTCACTTTGAAACAGGGAGTAGTAGCCCGAAAACACATTAGAAACTAACAGCAGCTGATGCTCATCAGAATGGTGCTCGCCAAAAAGAGCATGGACAGAGGAAAGCAAGATTCCTACCCATATCTGTATGTATATGTATGTATGTATGTATGTATGTATGTATATATATACATATGTATATATTCAGAACTACTTCAACAAGCACAGGACAAAATCGCAGTTCTTGACACGTTCTGGGTCCATGGTTTTAGCCATGGTCTTATCGACGACCGATCAAAACAAGCAAGCAAGTATAACACGAATAATGGTAATGTGAGCATCCGCACTACAGTAGCCATGATAGCAACCATGATGCTGCTATGCCGACATACAAGGGTGATGATGACACTGATGGCGATGACTGTGATGACCATGACGATGAAAACGACCATTTTGATGGTGGTGGTGTTGTGATTACAATGGTACTGAGAATGATAATGATAAGGATGATGACCTAGAGATGATGACGACTGTGTTAATGTGGGTTATGGCCATCGTCGTAGTTATCTTGGTAATAGCAAAACTGACAAGATCGGATGAGGACATAAAACCTGCCCGAATGCCCGAAGCACGATTCGTGCAGTGAAACGTCCTGAAGATATACCAGGTAGCAGCCTTGAGCACTGGAACACGTACAAGGTTCAACGATCTGGGGCAGAAACCACTACTCAAAACCCTTTTGAACTTAAACGCCCTGGACTCAGAGCTCCCAGAATCCCTGCATGAAGGACAAAAACCTGGAGTCATAATATTCGGCCCTGTTTCACATAAGCTACATTCCTTAGAAACTAGAACACAAAGCTCTGCTATGGAAGCGAGAGGCTGGAATGCTGCTGATCGCCAACTGGCGATCGGCAGATCGACAAGAGGACTGGGGACCTTGCTTTTCTGGTTTACGGCTTAGGTTTGAAGCCCTACCGAATATAACTGACCACAAAGCCGAATAGAAATCCTAAAGCATGATCCTACAATGAGGATAAAGTCTATAGCAGAGATCAGGGCAAACCTTGATGGTCGGTGGGTCCGAGAACATGCGGGACGTGTCGACGCGACAAAATTCAATCAGAAAGCAGCCAAAAGACAAGAGAAGAAGTCATACCATACGAACAGCGGCTGCGAAGACAGGTCTTTCGCAGAAATGCACGTCTTCTGTCCGGTGTAGAGCTCGATGCTTATGTTGCCCGAGATCACGGAAGCTCCAGACATGACATTCTTCAACGCCTTTTGCAGAACTTTGAATTGCTGAAGCTCCGGATCCGGATGGTCTACTCCAGCCCACTGATGTGACACGAACATGGCGTTGCCCTTGCTGTCATCGAACTCCACCAAAACACCCTCCAGCATCAGCTCTTCATGCGGCTTCAGCTCCGTCATCTTCAGCAGTGCATCCACCGGAAGCACATACATACCGAAGAGTTGCTCGGGCGTCGCCGTGGCTTCCTCTTCCTTCTGGCCGAGGCTCTGTGCAAACACCTGCCATTCTCAATGCAGGGGCCGTAACTCTACTATACTATACTATAGCTATGAAAAAGGAGCCCCGAATTAGTATTGGTAACTAGGTCACGCGCGCACCTGGACCCTGGTGGTTCCGTGGCACATGACTGTGCTGATTTGCCCAGGTAAACACCAAAGTTCTTGAAACAACAAGGTTTTTGCAGAACCGCCAAAACTGTTACTCTTTTCAGACAAGCTGGTGGTTTTTACTGTTGATGGATGGTCTTAATGCATCTTCGAACAAAGAAAAAACACTTGTGACAGCACAAGCAAGCCCGTGCAGTATGTTTTGGGATACAGCAGCAATGCCGTAAATTCCAGCATTTTGGATATGTTCGCGACGGTGCCGAATGCTGACAAGGCGTCTTGTTCCAGACACATCCAGCATCCTGCTGAAGTTATGCAAAGAGACAAGAATGCTGTAAAAAAACTGTGTTTTGGGGGAACGGGCGCTTGTGTTTGCCGCGGCTGGCTTTTGGCCATTGTGCAGCAACTGCAAAGAAAACGCAGCAACAGGGAAAACACAAACACCCCCACTCCCCCTCACTGCAGCAACAGCCAAAAAACACATACGGGTAAGCCCTCTACAATCCTTTGCTAGCTGCTAGCATCCCGCACCTGCAGAGGGGTCTCCATCTCGGAGGCATGGCATTGGAAAACCATTGCAATCCCTCAACCCCTTACTCAAAACCGAAGCCGGATGCCTGAAACGCCAAGACCTGGGCCCCTGCACCCTGAACCAACAGCCCCGGTCGGTGGCAACGATAGCCCCTGGCGCTAACCTGCTCCTGGCACTTGAGCCGGCATTGCAACAGGTACTATCAAAACTGTGGGTATTATCATAAGCACTATGGACTTGTCTTGCTTGATACACTCACTATCATCGCGGCTGTTATCGAATTGTTGTCATTATGTTCCCTCGTTGCTGCTATCATTCAAGGATATTCAAGGTATAGTATACGCTCCATTCACGTGGACATCACCGAAACATGAAAAGCACAAACCGTCGCTTCTAGGATCCAGGGCTTACGGACTGGGGCTTTGAAGGGTCAAGCAAATGTATCCCCAACCAAGTGCAGATGAAACCCCTGCCAGGATGGTAACGGATGTGACCCCAAGGATAACACTGGGGGTCATGACTGTCGGATCTAGGGTTTGCAACGCACAACACCAAATTGAAAGCAAGCACAGCACTGCACTGCACCCAGTAACTTCAGTCACGGCTTAAAACTCTAGTAGTAGCATCGTGGACAAGACTGCTTGTGAACACAACATGGGAAGCACCATCAATACGTAAAAATGATCAAATACTCACACAAAACTTCAGAGATGCGAGGAAAGAGCGCAACAACTATCACACAGCAAAACGCCCTGCGAAAAGATGGCCTTCGGGCATTCTTACGGAGGAACTCCTCTCGCCATCGCTTGTCTCGCTCCTCCCCGGCCTTGGGTCATCTCGGAGATTGGGATGTCGACTGTTTCTTCGAAGGAAACTAATCCGGGTTTGGGTTTAGAGTTAACATCGGGGCCGCAAACATGAGAAGACGGTGTTGGGGTGTTTTTCTAGTATTGTAGTATTAGCTGCATGGGAGCTACGTGTTCGTTCTACGGGCTCTGGATTCTGGATTTAAGGATTAAGGTTCAAGGCAGAGCTCTTACGATATCATGGGTTTTGGGTCCTGGTTGGTTTTTTTGGTTTGTGGGTATAGCTGAAGACCTGAACACCGAGACCAGGGACCTCTACAAGAAGGATTCTGGGACCCCCTTGAACTAATGCTGTTTCTACACAGCACTGATGCCCTGAAACTTATACTTATACTCCAAACTAAACCCTATACACGACCCCCTGGAACCTATACCCCAAACTAACCCTAGACCAGGATGGTGGCACGCCCTGGGGCCCTCATAGCTGCAGTATTTTCATACGCGAGAACGAAATTCACTCCTGAAATAGACAGGTGGTGAAACACTTGTAAATGTCAATGCTCTCGGCTCAAAATCACGTCGTATTGAATCGGTTTGATTCATTCCATTTACTAGATATTTGTCCTTGCACGTATGTTTGCAACGTTCCTTCGAAAGCACGAGTAGAATTCATGTTGATACCAAATGATGACTAAGGAATCAGAACCATGTCTTTTTGCATGTGTGTGCGTATCATATTTCATCCGACTATGTAAGATTAGATGGCATTGTTTGTGGGGCGTACATGTCAGTATGTATCTAACCCTTACGCAAATCAATCCTACAGTCTGGGCAAATCAAACTTGCAGCTTCTTTTTTTACCGTTCGAGAACAGCTTGGCAGCATAACTTCGAACCTGAATGTTGTGGGGGTGCAGGCCTATCACAGAAGCTACATTACCATACCCATGTCTGCATAGTTTCTACTTGACAACTTGTGGTTTAAATTATCCTAGCCTATCAACGTCAGTGGGCGATGGTATCTTCCAACTCTTGTTCTTAAACTCAAGCATGGATCCTTGTCAATCTCCATTGTATGTGTCGATAAACATTGCAGAAGACTTTGGGGTTCTCATAGAAACTTATTCTGACAAGCGCCGCACTAATTCAAACACCTTAAATCTAGGACTACGTCTACGGGCAGCCTCCTGAACAGAATTTCGTGTGTGGGCATGTCCCATTCGCTACCTATGACCTTGTCACAAGTGTAGCATATCCTACATATGACATCTTCTCCATGTCCGTTTGTTTGGAGGATGTACTGCACGAGCTCCCCCACTCCCATGTATAGACTCTCTGACATTAAGGTGTTTTTGTTCTGAAAACAATTTGAGTTCGAATAAAAGAAAAAGAAAAACCCTTTCCCGAAGAAATTCCGGATAATGTTTGTTGGATGGCCGTATCAAGCCGCAGCCTGTGCTTGGAAACCCAATATACCCTCAATGGGATCCTGCAAAATCCACAGGTTTAATTTTGCTGAGGCCTGAAGCTTCTAAAGCAACTTCAGTATTTCGTGAAAACACCTCTATCTATATGTATTCACCTTATACGGTGAAATCTGAAAATCCGATGGGAGACCGTGGTCTGGAACCACTTTCAAACCATTTTCAGTTCACGTGCGGATTTTCCGCAAAAGAAACTGTCATTTCAGAAAGATTACCAACAGTGTTTTTCGTTTCTCGTTATGTGACTATATATGAATAGGACAATATCAGCAGCGGCAAGTGTGAGTTTTCAGATGTATACTGTATACCGCAGCATCAACACCTTGCAAATAACCCATGTATTCCCCAACCCTGTTTCCATAGTTCTCACTGCCTCCCTGTATGTAGTATGACGCATATGCACACATAGCTTCAGGGCAGCATCACCAGGTTTGTTCCTTTTTGTTTCTTTCTGCCCGTATATCTAATATAGACAGCTGTATAGAAGATTTCTGGAAGCCTGATTATCACACTTCTCAATTACGACTCTATGCCATGTGTGTTGGAACGGACATGCTACCAATGTTACCCTACATGTATGCTAGATGGAAATATCGCACATACAGCGTGTTTGTTGCTTCGTATCTGCCACAGCAGTGCTTCGGAAAGTTTAGTTTTACAGCAGGACAGTCGAGATGTGAGTATGAATATCATTAGATATATCCGTTTTGTTGGCTTCAATCAACTACACCGTGTGAAGTTGACATGCGTGATGACAATGCTGGATCGCGAACTTGCCAGTATCATATGTGGCGGTGATGCATTCGGGAAGCGAAGCACTGTGAAGATGCTACCACTATGAAAACAAATATGAATATTGCCTGAGCTGACTTCGCGCAGAAAATATGGGGTGTATGGGAATTCAGGTGTCCAATCGCGCGCGCGCAAGCCGAACTAAGGCAACTAAAGCTTAACTAAGGCTGTAGCAGGGGGGAAAGGGCACAAAAAAAGAAATGATCACTCCAAATCTGGAGTTTGCCCCCCCCCTTCCCCCCACGCAGCCCTTTAAATGTTGGATGAAAGCTTCCCACGCTAAGGCACTGGCCCTAATCCTCAAATCCCGCACCCTTTGAACGTCTAACATTGCGTTATTTGTGGTTTTTAAAGATGTATGATTACCCATATGCGTGTGCACGTTAAGCAGTTTTGTTGTTTGAAAGAAGTTCCAACACGGAAACTTTCAGCGACAATCCACAAATCATCGCAAATCCTGGTGCGTGGAAAAACGGGGCCCCCACAGCGTTTGTTCTGTAGTGTTAGTATCTGTTGAAACAAATGAACTGTTTTCATGCGAGAACCAAAGTGCCCGCCGCTCCTCGGATCACCTCCTCTTGCGCTTCCCCGACGGACCACAGCGTGTCCTGCCCGATGACTCCCGTGCACAAGAAGATGGACGACATGCCGATTGCTGCTGAAATCTCCTCCCCCTGGAGTGCCCTGTCACAGAAGAACTTCACCGTCGGGACTTGGTGGTAAGCGCACCATGCCTGCCACACATGCTCCATCACTCGGCAAGTGGCGGGCATGCGCTTAAAGCTTTGCCGGCAGAGACAACTTGGTGGAAAGTCCACGCCCAGAGCAGTGGGCTCGCCGCCCCTTGATGGATCGACGCTGCAGAATTTTGACGGGCGCTCCTCGTTGGCTTTCGGTCGCCGTAGGCAGCCCCGACTCTGGTTGCTACTGTTTCCACGACTTGACCTCAAAACTTGCTTTTAACGTATCGAAGACTCCGTCAAAAGCTCCAGCCGGCGGCCCAGCATCCCGGTTCCACAGGGCATTGCGCTGGAAGGAAATCAGCCCTTGATGTGTCGACGCTGAGGAGTTTTCACGGGCTTTCTTTCGGTGGCTTTGCTGC